TGAGGAGGGGGGAGGGGAAGCGCCGAGCTCCAACTCCTCTAAGTCTCCTCCGCTCCGCTCTCCTCAGCGCTACGAACCAGCCGAACCCGACGACCACGACGCGCCCGCCTCCCCCACTCGCCCATTGGCTCCGAAGATGGCGCCGCACCGCCCCATTGGCCGGCGCGGGGCCCGCCCCCGCGTGACGCACGGATGGTTCTGGAAGAGTTTGGTTGGTCGGTGCGCTTCGCCGCTTGGCGCTTCTCCCCTCCCCCTCCTTTGAACTGAATTCGCGGGAAAGGGCCGCTCGCCCTCCGGCGCGGGGCATGCTGGGTAGAGCGGGCCGCCTCCGCCGGCCGCCCCCGCCTGCCGCCCCGGGGCCGCCTCTCCCCGCTCCCCGCTCCTGCCCTCGCACCCCTCCTCCGCCGCTCTGCCCGCCCCCGCCGGGCTGCCCGGAGCTCCGGGCTTTCCGTGTCCCTTCCCCGCGGCTGTGCCCCGCGCCTCGTCCCGGTGCCTCGTCCCGGTGGCTCCGCGGCCGCGCAGGTAGCTGGTGCCTCTCTCGCCTGAGGGAAACCGCCCCCCCTGCGCGGAGGCGCCGCTGAGGAGGGGGCCGCTCCGCTGCCCGCAGGACCTGGGGCTCGATCGCGGAAAGGGCCAAATTAGTCGAAAGAGAAGCTTGGGTGTAAATCGGTGTCGGGTTTGTGGTTAAAATGGTTATACCGGGTCGGACGTGAGGTCCTGCTGGCATCCCGTAGCTTTAACCTTAACTAACCATGAGGTTTCCTTAGAGGACAGCAGGAGAAGTCGCCCATAGGTGCAGGGAGACTTGAAGTCTGAGGTAAAATGTTTCTCTCCGGTTTTATTCCCGCCTTTCTCTGCTTAACGAGGGCCCACGGAGTCCTCGGGGAAATAAAAGTTGTGCCACTGTCACTACCTCCAGGGTCTTGACAGTTGCCCGCCTGTGGCTGAGCACGCGTTCGGGATCAGGCCTTCAGGGCAGGCTCTCAAGACTATTTCACATACGTGATAAAACGTAATAAAGTCCAACTGTGCAACGGGAAAATTCAGCACTGGCTTTATTTGATCAAGTCCTTATCAGTGGTGCGGCAAACTCAGTACATAAAAGGCTTTGACAGCCATCCCGTTCTATTTGCTTTCTTTTGCGAAACTTTTCAAGAGTAATTGTATAAGGTAGGGTAAAAATAGTCTATGTGTGAAATACAGCCTTGAATTTTGATACCAGATACACCTGTGGTGCTGGCACTATACAGTCTCGGTTTATCTTTTAATTCCTAGTGTTAAGGAAAATTAACTTAATGGTAAATATTGAGAGGAAAACCGTATATCAAAGTCAGACATGCTGTAAATGTGCCTTACGCTATCAACAGAGCGAGATTCTAAAGTGATGTCTCAATGGTCTGTTATTAACCTTACTGTGTTTTAAGAAAATGTATGTATATACAGCCCACACACATTCAGAGAAATGTCTCTAAGTCTTTAATGGCTACTGTTTCTCCCCAGTTTGGTTTTGGTTTGCGTTGGGTTTTTTTGTTTGTTTGGGTTTTTTTGTTACAGTTCCTTGATATTTATTCTTACTTAATATCTGCAATGTTAATTTTATTTTTCAATTACTTCCCCTCTTTTTGCTTTTTCTGCTGCACCATTTACATTTCATGTTTGGAAATATATTTTCTTCCCTTATGC